TTTGAGGAAACTCCTCCTGGACCATTGCTTTATAGCTCCCAGTGACAGTTCTGGCAGGGTTTGATTTGATGGAGCAATTTGTCCCAGCAGGGTTTGATTCGATGGAGCAATTTTGGGGAACCTTTTTATTCCACCTGTTTCATTATTACCAGAAATAGTGGAGATAAGTCTTACCACTTATCTATAGGGCAGGGCAAGTATCTAATTACTGAGCATCAGCTTTTCTGATTATCCTGCAAATGACCTTCCTCCTCTTGAAGCCCCAAGGTCCCTTACCTCATCCTGAGCTCAGAATGTCATATCTACTTCATTGTCCCTTTCTATCTCTAAACCTCTTATGTATGTGTGATCTCTGACTTTCTCATGTAAGTGGGATTCCCGTACATACAACTGTCATTAAATTTGGTAATGTTTGTTTGTTCATTTAATCTCTGGTGTGGATTTAATTACTAGATCAGCCAGAAGAACTTAGAAGAGTAGAGAAAGATTTCTTCCTCCCCCACAGCTTCCACTGTCCAGAGGAAAGAGCTGAGTCTATTTTTCTGGAGCAGGCTTTCAATGGTCTGGGGAGTAGGGTACCAGGTTCCCTGGTGGAAGAGAAGGGAGTCAAACTCAGATGCCACTGGGAATGACGTGTACCTGCAAAACAGGAAAAAAATCAGAAATTCCTTGAAGCCCAGAGGGCATGGCTCAGAGGTTGAGCATCAACCTATGAATCAGGAGGTCATGGTTCGATTCCTAGTCAGAGCATAGGTCTAAGTTGTAGGCTCGATCCCCAGTAGGGGATAGGCTTAAAGATGCCTTAGAAACAGTACTTTATTCCACCTTTTCAAGGAATTTTTTAAAAAAATATTTTTACTTATTATAGGCTTAAAGATGCCTTAGAAACAGTACTTTATTCCACCTTTTCAAGGAATTTTTTTAAAAAATATTTTTACTTATTTCAGAGAGAGAGGGAGAAGGAGAGAGAGATACAAACATCAATGATGAGAGAGAATCATTGATTGGCTGCCTCCTGCACACTCCGGACTGGGGATCGAGCCTACAACTTAGACCTATGCTCTGACTAGGAATCGAACCATGACCTCCTGATTCATAGGTTGATGCTCAACCTCTGAGCCATGCCCTCTGGGCTTCAAGGAATTTCTGATTTTTTTCCTGTTTTGCAGGTACACGTCATTCCCAGTGGCATCTGAGTTTGACTCCCTTCTCTTCCACCAGGGAACCTGGTACCCTACTGAGACCAGGTCTTCTACCAGCAATGAGAAAAGGAGAAAAACAAGCCGTGTGTTGTGTCTGCTGGCATGGTCTTGGGGCAGACAGAGCAAACACACAGCTGCTGGCATGAGCCGCGTTTGCCAGAGGTCTGCTCTTCAACAGAGCAGTCCCTGAGCTTTCAGTTGGGGAAACGGAAACTTGTCATGATGCCATTTCTGTGTGTCATCTCCATCACTTGTCCAGCTGTAGTATCACCAGTGTGTTATCACTGCCGGCATGTGGGCACATGGACCCTGCTGTCAGCATTTCAGTTGATACCCTGGCAGACTCTGGAATGTGCCATGCAGCAACACGTGGGCATCTTAGGGCGTCTCTGTCCAACCATACACACCACATGAGGAAAACGTGTTGGGTGGGGATTCAAGATGTGACCAAACTGCAGGTCTGAAGTAGGGCCAGGGATTCCTGACCCAATGGGCCACTGTTCCAGGTCAGTCACTTATTATCAGAAAGCTTGAGGTAGTGTGGGCATCTCAAGACAATTAGTGGCCACTACCTGGGACACACCTCGCTAGGACCAGAGGGCTGGGTGTCTGAATGTTGCCGGGCACATCCTAAGCAAGGTGGGGTGCAAGGGGCTCCAGGGAGATGCTGTTTAGGGGCATCAATATGCCGGGGTTCTTGTCCCAGCATCAAGAAGGTTTCAGGAATCTGGAGAAGGGGCTGTGTGTAGATTTAATAGGAATCCAGAGACTAATAAAGAATCTGGAGACGAAATATAATTTTGAAAGGCACTGGGGGTCAGAGGAGTTTAGCTAAAGGAGCTAAGATCCAAGATCTTAAGTCTAAGGTCTTAGGTTCCCCGCCCCCAGGACCCCATGCTTTTTATTAACACATCTTGTCCTGAGGCGAGGCAGAGATTTACACTTCAAAGGGTATACAGAAACATTGTCAGAATGGGGGAATTAGCCTATGGCTGTTCAGGTGTTTGGCCAGTAGGAGGCAATAACATGTAGATTAAGATGCCCTTTAACTGTCCGGCAGCCACAATCAATTTCCTATTCAGGTTTGGGGGAAATGCCTTTAGCCATTTTCAACAGGTGATACATGTGTGACTCAACCCTGTTGAGTCCCCAAATCTCATCAACCTTTTGCTGAAACTCTTAAAATTATGACATGCTGGAATTGGTTTCCGGCACGTCAGGGGTTACTTTAACCAAGTGTGCTTGATGCCTGCTCCTTCGGATCTTTAAGACCTATGAGGACATTCTCACTGGCAAATACTTGCTTGTGTAATTTTACTAGAGATTTATTAAAGAAACAACAAACTTTATGCCTTGTCTTGCCATTTGGGAGTATGGAGTCATGCAAACGTGGAGTCACAGAGGTGAGTTACAGGGAAATAAATGTGATCTGTATGATTATAGTATTTTTAGAAGAGTTATCAAAACAAAAACTCTCTCATATATCTGAGCACAATGAAAGTGCAGGCGTCATCTCAGGCAGAAAGGAGGGGGGTTAGGGAAAGTAGAGGGGGAGGCTAGAACAAAAAATCTTAGGAAAAATGAAAAAAAAAGTTGAGGGAAAATTTAGAATATAAATGCTGACCTATATTATTATTGCAAATATGTACATTTGTATATGCAAATGGATAAGGGCTAGGAGGTATAGGAAAAAAGGAAAACACTGACTTAATCAGATGCTAAGATTGTGAGCAATGTTCTGTTTAAATTTCTGTTGTAATTTTAATGTCACAATAAATGTTTTTTTTTTTAAAAAGTCAACACTAAGAAGGAACAAGAAAGCAATGGTTGGTGAAATTATTCACATTTCAAAGGACTCTCGAGAATAATTCAGAAGCTTCTCACAGTGTCTTGCGCACAGCAGGCACTTGGCAGCCCTTTGCTAAAATGAAGAACCAGACTCACATAGCCTTGGCTTGACCTCATACTGTATAAACATGAGCAGGGCTGCTCAAGCACATAGAGCTTTGATTAAAAGCTCCATAAATAAAGTGTGCATCTGAATCACCATGTACAAGTTCATTTCACGCCCCGCTTAAATCTGAGTTCTGGAACTACTGAAGAAATGAGAAATGACAGCAATTTTAGAAAATGTGCTGCAGATGGACTAAGTGTTTTCATATCAGAAATGAAGTCATTTTGCTTATGTGGCTGTGTGTGCCCTCGTAAGTAAACTCAGCAGACCCTGGGCCTGAAATTTCAACATCAGTTTATAAGTAATTGTTTTTTCTGTCTGGATTGTTATTGTTATTATTTAGAAAATAAGAATTTTGTGGTCAGTACTTTACTTTGTGGAAGGATTCAAGAGGACGCTGGAAGTGGGTGGTGAGCGAGGCGCTGGCAGAGTGAGAACCAAAACCATCTTGGCGGGGGGGCTCTGCTGTTTCAGTGCAGGTGGGCATCTCCCAAGGGCAGGCTGCTCCCCTGGGGTGCCCCGCCCCCGAGTCCTCCACCCCGTTTCTATGTTAAAAGCTTCCAAATGTATCCTTGAGAAGAACACAGATAACAGTAGGGGCTCAGAACAAGAGGTACCCTTATCAACATTCATGTCCTAAAAGACTTCATATAAACGGTCTGATAATGCACTTTTTTTCTCTTACGGACTCTCTTTATAGGAGAATTGATAATATTCAGCAGCTGTTATCTCCAAATATGGTTCAACAACTCCGGGGGGTCTCTGAGAGCACCCCAGAGGGCCTCTTAGAGCTTTCAATTCATCATTTTTATTTATGCTGTATTCATATTTTAAAATATGTACTTTAAGCTAAAATTAACAAATGACATTTTATAATATATATTTTAACTAATAAACCGATTAGAAGTGATGGGTCTATTCTTATGACATGGGTTAATTATTTTTAATTTTATTTTTCAATTACAGTTTGCATTCAATGTTATTTTGTATTAATGTCAGGTGTATAGTATAGTGGTTAGACAATCATATACTTGACAAAGTGGTCCCCCGATATTTCAAGTGCCCACTGGGCCCTGTAAAAGTTATTGCAATATTATCAACTATATTCCCTATGCTGTACAGCATGGGCAGATTCTTTATTAGATCTCCCTTAAGTTTATTTTTAACCTTTTTGGCTAGGAGGAATTATTTTTTCGTAGTGATCAGTGGTTCATAAAAATGATGGCTTGTCCTCAAAGTGGTGGTAAAAACACTGCTAGAGATTGTGTGGAGTCCTGGGTAAAGGAAGGATACTTAAAGATGCTCCTACACATGTCCCTAAACCATGCACAGAGTCAGGAGAGTATTAGAAAGCAAGTATGTTACTTAAAAAATATTTTCTTAAATACATGGTCTGTTTTAGAGATGGGAACAGCAAACATTGATCCTTCTTGTGGGAAAAAAAAATCTTCATGTGACAGACAGATCCTGCCGTGGCTCTAGTCTGCTCTGGGAATCAGCTTGGCAATATTTCCTTACAAGATAATCTCTGGGCTTGTGTCTAGTTTTATTTCTATTTTAGCTTAACCCCTTTGGTACATTTTAGTATAATTAGAAGAATTAAATGAGACCTCCATGTAAAAAAGGTATCAAACTACATGACCATCGCTCCAGTCTTCTCATATTTCTAAAACCAGCATCTCCCGTTTCATCAGAGATACATTTGGATGTGGCCTTGAAGGCCATCAGGGATCACAGGACAGCCCTGGGAGTGCCCTGAGCCCAGAGCCCAGCGTGGGCAGTCTGGGTTAGACAAGCCAGGGGTGAAGCCTGGTCCTACCTCTCAAAGCCTCAGTTTCCTCTGTGCTCTGGGAATAACACCTACCTCTGAGAATTGCTGGGAAGTATTGCGAAGTGCTTGGCACAGTCCCTGGTGCGTTCTTTCACCAGCTCACCAAACATCTATGGTGTAATAAGCTGTGCCAGGCACTCCGCAGGGAGCTGAGGATGCAGCGCGGAACGCGCGCGCCCTCGGGACGAGACGGCCTGCAGGGGATTGAGACCCGAACCATCACATTCAAGCAGATACCCGGGCGGACACGGGGAGGCTATGGAAGCGCGGAGGAATCACTGCTCTCTGGTACCTTCAGAACAGGGGGTGGAGACGGGGGCAGAGAGTTGGGATGACTCTGTGGTTGGCTCGCCCGCTTAGCTCATCGCGGCGGCTGCCCGCCTGCCTGCAGGCTTATTTCACAATGAACCAAATGGAAACCAGCAGGCAGGGCATCACGGGCCGGTCCACGGCGACCCAGAGACCCGCTCCGTTTTCCAACCAGAAATCGCAGCGCTTGACGGAGCAGAGCTCCCGGACCAGCCGCCAGAGGATGCGCCGGTGAAGCCTGTTGTCCGGTCTCTCCTGGGACAGCTCCTCCTGGTTCGCAGCCTGGGTGGCGTTGATGCAGCCGCTGACGAACCTCTCCCGGGTCACGTTGGCCTCGGAGCAGCCGTTGTAGTGGATCTCGTCGGGGAACTGCCAATAGTTGGCCTCGTAGTATCTGTTGGCCTCGGTTCCGAAGTCGATATCCAGCTTGCGGCCGTGCTTGATGAAGGCGCCCGGGCGCAGCTGCATCTCCACCCTCTGGGCCTCGGTGACCTGGGAGCTGCTGGGCGGGGCGGCCGCCTTGCGGTTCCACTTGATCCGGTGCTTTATGCCTCTCGCCTGCACTGCGGCGAGCTGGCTGAAGAGCAGGACGCAGACCATGGCCAGGCAGCACCCACCCAGTTGCTTCCTCATGGTGCCCGAATCTGCAACAGCAAAGGATGAGGCGGTCAGGTCTCCAGCGTGGTCCCCGGCTCCAACCCTGTCCCCTCCCGCGTGGAGGCTTTACACAAGGAGTGACACCCTTGCCTCTACATTTGTCCTGAAGCATAATTGCTTTCCCACGCTCGGGCTGCACAGGGTTAGGCCCGTCTCAAGTGTTTTTGCGTCTGCCTGGAACTAGACCCATTGAGGGCGGTGACCCTGGCTTTCTCAGACAGATAAGAAGCTGCAACTGGCAATTACACAGCCTTTGAATGTGCATGGGAAAGCGAGCGAGTGCTGACTTAATACATACAGGTTGTCTTTGGTGCTCCCAAGTTCTTCAAATCAGGGGGCCCCTGGGAGGCAGACAGAAGAGCTGGAATCAGAGGCTTCTGGGAATAGACTGTATTAAAAAAACAACCCCACACTTTGGTAACCAATGTTAACACATAAAATGAACCTATACCCTGCCAATCAGAGCAGCTTACATAATGCAAAGGCTGTGTTGTTGTCGTCATTATTATTATTGTTATTATTATTTTATGGCTGACACTCTTATATAGGCTGTGTTTTCTATCGTCCCTCTTTATTCTGTATTGCTCTGAGCTGGCACTGGCTTGGGCACTTTGTGCCGTCTATTCTAAGTCACTGGCTGCTGATCCCAAAGGCCTTTAAGGTAATGAGAGAGAGCGAGGAGATGAGCGTGGGGAGAGAGAGATGGGATGTACGGGGACCCTGCCTCTCTCTATGGCCACGAGTAATCCTTTCATGTTTCATCTCTGGGCACAGTGTGACCCCATCCGCCTCTCCCAGCTAGCTTCTTCCACACTTACTGTGTGTCAGCCTCTGACATTGTCTAACTTACTTTGCACATGGGAAAGGTATACTATGACCCCCATTTTATAAAAGTAGCACCGGGAACTAGAGAAATTAGGTAATTTGCCAAGGCCGCACGGTGGCAGGAGGCAGGTTTGAACGCAGCTCTGTCTGACACTGTTCCCACCATGCCCACTGCCCTCCTGGGCTGCCGGAGGGGCTGGTGCTCAGATATTGTGCTTTTGACTAACTGGGCATGAAGAGCAGCCCAATGGGCCCTTAGTTGAGCAAGCAGCTAGGGGGGCATTTCAGAGGAGATGAGATGATGGGGAGGAGAGGAGGGACAGGGGAGCGCTGAGGTGGCCCTAGGCTATCTGGAGGGCTGCTGATGACATCATGGAGTGCCCCTCCTTTCCAGCCCCACCGTCCGAGAGTCTGTGGCATCTGGCTCCTGAAACTACAATAGTTATTGTGGAAATCCACCTCCCAAGGTCAACCACGGACAAAGGTCCAGGGCATTCCAGCACCTGGACCTTTGTCCGTGGGGAGCAGGGGCACGGGAAGCTATTACAGCGGAACGTGCTTAGGCTGTCTCCTAGATAAGGCTTATTGTGAGTCCGTAAGTGCCAGAACTGGGGGAGGTTGGAAAGCTACCTTGCTTAGTTCCTAACACACCCTCCACCATCCCCTTGCAGTATTCCTAACAGTGCACCTCTGTTAAAACATTCAAATCTGGTGAGACACTGATCCTTATGTGGGAAAATCAACCCAAGTGTTTTTCTAGCCTCCTCAGGGCATCTGCAAAGAGGCTTCTGCTAACATTTCTTAACATGCAGGCATCACCTGGCTTCTGCCCCAGGGTGGACATGAATGTGCCCACAGCAGCCTATGCACCCAGGCCCAGCACCCCACCCCTCATTGCCCCCTGAACACAGTGAGCTCAGAGCAGCTTTCTCCAAAGAGTTTCAAGCAAACACTCATTAACCTCCTAAACAGGGGCCACACCCCATGTCATAGCCCTTACTCCTTGGGAAGAGAAATCTTAAGTAAGAATAATAACATCAATTACAGGCACATCAAATTAAATAAAAGCATAGAGATCTTGAGAAAGAAAGTAGTCTTTCTAGGCAAGGGCTTAAAAGCAAGAGAAAATCCCAACCAGCCAACCCTTCAGTAGCCTTTTATTATAGCATCGAAACATAGACATGCAGCACCTGGATGACTAACCATTCTCACAAGTGTCCCCTGACTTGGGACCTACCCCAGGAGATGGGAGTTGAGTAATCATTGCATGGTTTGTAGTCTGATTAGAAATGAGCAACCCCGACCACAGAAATGGCATCCTGCACACACCCTGCCTCCGCACCTACCTTGGACTCTCTCTGGGAGCGTGCCTCTAGAGCGGTGGCCACACTGTCCTGGAGCACACTCTCTTGGCAGCCAGGCCTGCCCAGCTAAGTAGGAGCTGGAGAGGGAGTGGCATTTTGCTTCTCTCCAAATATGGCAGCCTCCCCTCCCTGCAGGACCAATCGGGAGTCCTCGGGAGCTCCTTTGTCTTGAGAAGGATGGAGCTTCTCATCACTTTCTACTCATATGCATCACAGGAAGATCTTGATGAAGTTCAGCAAAACTTGAGAGTTGCCTTTTATTTTATTTATGTATTTATTTATTTACGTACTATTGCCAGTTTATTATAAAGGATACAGATAAACAGCCAGGTGAAGAGGTGTAGAGGGCAAGGGCTGGACGCATTCCAAATACAGGTGCCCCAAAGAGTTTGGGGTGCATCACCCTCTCAGCATGTGGAGGAGTTCACCAACCTGGAAGCTCTCTGAACCCCAAGTATTATTATAAAAGCTGCTCCTTCCTATCACCCCCGCCACTCAGGAAGTTAGACAATTGTAGAAGCTTTGTGCCAGGAACTGAGGACAAAGATGAAACATATATTTCTCATTACATGAGAATGTCGCAGCTGGACAGATGGATGGATGCGTCTGTCCAGTTGAGGCTATTTTTAAAACTGGTATTTTTAGAGGTGCCCCTTAGAACGGAAAGGAAAAGCATTAGAAGGAAAATGCTTTCCCATCAGTGTCTACAACAGAGGATGGATTCCACAGGCCTTGCTGGATATGCATACAGTCCTACACCTCCTAGACCAGCCCTTTTGCGAACCAAATTAAGCGATTAATTCTAAATCGACCAGCAGATGGCGCTAGGAGAGTTTGCAAAGACTTTTCACCCTGGAGGTAGGAAACCCCCCAGCGAACGCTGAGCTTCTGTGCTCCAGTTGGACCTTCCTTTCTCCTCTGCCTTTTCTTTTTTAATTTTATTTCATTTCCCTCTTCAAGAAAACACACCACTTTACCATTTTTATCTAGAATCCTAGACATTTGGTCTTGTGAACACAAACACAGTAGTGCAAACTTAGTATAATCTATTTGCAAAATGCAGAAGAAAAAGAAAAAAGATCTCAATATTTCACTCTCCAGAGACAAGTGTCAGTACAATTTTGTTCATTGTGTAGGTGTTTAGGGTCATAATTAGGGTTTGGGGTGTTCAGAGCTGGAAAGGACTCAGAGTCCTCCAGTCCAGCTTTCACACTGTGTGAGGTCATGGGACCCAGATAGGCCCAAGGCCACCCAGCCAGGCAGGCTGTCCCTGCAGGCCCATTGCCCTGTTCTAAACTGTGTGTACTGTTCACCCTGTCTGTCCCCATCTGGTACCATCACCTCCCGGCTGCCTCCATCCCTTTCTTTCCATCCCTTTCTGAGCAGGACTTTGCCCAGAGCACAGTGGGAGGTTGGTTTAGAGCTGATGAGGCTGCAGATTCTTCTTGTGGGGGAACAAAGAGCTGTTTTCGGAGGCACAGAGGAGTGAGGACAACGGAGAATGTTCAGAAGAAGGGAGGAGCTCTGGAAGCTGCAAACGAGGCAAGAAAGCTATTAAGCAGATGCAGAGAGTACAGAACTGCTCCATTCTGCCCTGCAAAGAACAAACAGCCAAGGAATTGGTGTGAGAACATTAGTCTCGTTAACTGAGCTGAGAGACACTTTGAATTGTGTCTTCTGGCACCAACAATTATATTAGGAATACATAATTTATTTACCTTTGTTAATACTCACCCGAGGATATATTTACCATTGAGATTTAGAGAGAGTGGAAGTAAGGGGAAGAGACGGAGAGAGAAACATCGATGTGAGAGAGAGAGACATTGATTGGTTGCCTCCCACAGGCATCCTGACTGGGGCTGGGGATTGAGCCTGCAACTGAGGTACGTGCCCTTGATTGGAATCGAACCCATGGCTGTTCAGTCTGTGGGCTGACACTCCAACCACTGAGCAAACCAGCTAGGGCTAAGAATATAATTTAATCTTGGTCATGTTTATGAAAACAGGAAGAATGGGATTGCTTCCACAGGGCTGGGTGCTCCATGATGCAAAGGACTATAATATATTTTGCACAAATGGAGAAATAATAGGAATTTATGTGGATTAACCAAAAAAAGCAACAGGGAGAGGCTGAGTTCTAGAATGCACGAGAGGGTCATTATTATTCCATTCCTAGTTTGATTAGAGCTCGGACCTTTGGAGAACATTTATAAATAGATATAGTGATTGTTAAGACACAATGTCAAACTGTACCCAGCAGGGTTAGTGTGTGGGATGATCACCCACCATATCTTGGCTTTTTGAAGATTTCTCAAGAGTCTGTTATGTGTTTGGGACCATGTTGTGCTAAGGAAGGCAGAGCATAGAGATGGATAAGGCAGCTAATGGAGCTCCTGGTCTAATGGTAGAGAAATAATTGAAATGTGTTTTGGAAAATAATACTTATTAGAAAGCTGTGTAGCTGTCCAAACAGCCATATTTAATTTTTTTCTCACAGAAAGCGATACATATCCTAACTGTACAGCATTATGTATTTTTACGAACTGAACTCACCCATGTAACCTACACCCAGATAAAGAACCTGAACATGACAGCATCTCCAAAGGCTTCGTATATCCCCGTTGGGTCATTGTCCCCTCCCCTGTACTGTCCTGACCCCTCCCACCATAGGTTAGTTTTGCCAGTTTTTGTACTTCATATAAATGGAGTTATTTATTTATTTTTATATATTTTATTGATTTTTTACAGAGAGAAAGGGAGAGAGATAGAGAGTTAGAAACATCGATG